AAATGAAATTAAAATACGATTTTGTTGTAGTGTAGACTGTGTGTATATGTGAGTGTGCCTGTGTTGGTCTGCAATAATTATTTATTTAATTTTTGCTAAACTGTCGCTTGCCGAAAAAAATCGTATTTTGTATAAATGTAAAATGAATTTGCACGTCGAATGTGATATGCAATGTCAGAGGTTTAAAACATTTGCATAACTAATTGTTTTGTAGGAAATACTAGTTTCTATTTATACTCATTCACGACAGTCGATTGCGTATATTGATTTTGCAAAGCTCTTACTTTTTTTTATAAACAATCTAGATTTTTTTTTTTTATCAATGTTCAACTGTCTTCTGTCTATTGTCGGGTCCTTCAAATATATTTGTACTCCAATGCAGGAGTACTTTAGTTTACTGGTCATCTCTCGTTATCCGTCTGAATGGACTCGATTTGATGAGTTTAATTTTGAGGTGGAACAATATCGTATATACCTTGCTGCTGTTAGCAATTATTAATATTACGTTATCCGCCAAGCTTCATTAGAAACAGCTACGCATTAGTGTTTTCAGCTTGACTCAATTGCCATATAAATACCTTAATAACGGAGCCAGGTCTGAATTTGTGTTGTGAGATCTGGATGTTCTGAAAGTTCCCGCAGTCTCAAAATAATGAATTTGAAATTATTTGCTGTTTTATTAGCGCTCCCAGCAGCTCTGGCTCGGGACAGCTCGGATAATTTCACATATGTTCCGGTGAGTATAATGCGAACGAAAAAAAAAAACAATTATGCCAAGAGCATTGTCGAACTTTTCTCAGATTGCTAAATACTTCGAGAAGGATATATCGAAAGAGTGCGTCGACTGTGTGCACAGAGTAGAAGTAAAAGAACGCTCAAGATTTTTGGTGCGTCAGAGGCGTCTCTATGAGACAATTTATTCAATCGAGTGGCTGAAAAAAACTCTTAAGGCAAAAAATGTGACCGTTCATGGTGATGACTCGCTGGACCCGTCCCATCTAACCATCTGCTACACTTTTAACCGTCCCAGTGCAAATGTAAACAATCCAGACCTTGATAAATTGAAAAGCTGCCGAGCTAATGTGGCTGCATTGAAAGAACAAAATGTGAATTTGCTTAACATTCTGGAAATGAATAATAAAACTGTCGCTGCCTACACGGCGGATCTCGGACAATGCCAAGGGAAAAGGCTCGATCTGGTGGAAGAATATTCGCTATACAAGGGTTTGCTCTTGGTTAACTCATCCAAAATCTTGCAGGAAACCGTTCATCTGGCGAATTCTGTCCAAGAGAAGATATTAGAATACAAACACTATCACGCAGATGCAAAATATGGAAGAGGCATACTATCCTCAGAAAATGAAGATAATGTGACTAACGCATCCGGTGAAAACATAACCAAATTTGCAATTCCTGAAAATTAATAAACGAGTGATTAAAAAATCTTTTCTTTTGGGTAATAAAAATATTATTAATATAATAACATCTATAAAATTATTTATTGAAAGAATTTCTAAATATTGCAGTCCTGGTATAGATTCTTGCAGACGGCATGCTGATTGAAATATGTATACTCGACTCCATTGCTTATCTCGTCGCCTTTGTGGGAGTGGCGAATGCGAATAACTAATGTTCAAGGAAATCGAACGGTTTTTGAACCGTGGACAGGAATTGCGCAGTCGACTAAGCTCTACAATGTCCTGACTAGGTTTCACTCTTTTTCTTTTGCCCTGCTGTAATTAAAGCAACGCAGTAGCTGTCGAAGCTAAAAGGCAGGAAGCCTTAAGGCAGTCACAGCTGGTGATGCAGACAGAGACGAAGGAGCTCGCCTTTGAGCACAAGTGGGAAAGAAAGAAAGAAACTTTATTAATAAAAGTTTTGCCTTTGGTATTTTACCCAAGTATCATTGAAAACTTTCATATATATAAAACGTTGGCAATTCTCTATGCCCGCACACACACATACACACACACACACTCGCACTACTTATATGGCGACGGCTGTTCACATATTCATGCATTAAACTGTGAGCTCGTTTTTATGCATGTGACAATATTTGCTGCACTCGTTTTTGTTGTTCTTTCTTGATTTTCAATTTTTTTTTTTTTTTTTTACTTTGCGTGTGGCAAAACATTCACATTATTTTTGCCTGCAGCCCATTGACAAAGAACGTTCCACTTTAGGCATAATTGGTTCAAGTATTAAAATAGCGAATTTTATTAAACTTGGCTCAGACATAACTGCATTCTTGTAAAATTTTATCCTAAAAGTGGAAGCATTTTGGTTGGATAGAAAGTACAAGAAGAAAGGATATTTATTCACGTATTTATTTATTTATTATTAGTTCGTTATTATTTATTTAGTTATTTACTTATT